TGGATTGCTTGTCCTCTCTTCTTTTCCTCACTTAATTTCTTGGCATCTTCTCACCCTGAACATATTCTGCTGACCATGCCTGAACTAATAAGGCTGAGAAGAGCTGAAAGGAGCAGCTAGAAAATTTGAACCCAAAGAACATTTTGAAACATCCATTTCAGTATTTGGGAGGCATCAGGAAGGTAAGGAAGAATTAAAACCTGTGAATTTTAGACAGCAATGATTATCTGATCATCTGACCAAGACTCTCAATAAAGTGTTAGTCTGGGATTACTTGTTAGACTGGTTAGAGATTACTGTCCTGTTCTCATATTTTACAAAATATGTGTGAATTGTGGCAGGAGATTGTAGGAGGACAGAATCAGTCACTGCAGACCTCACTGACAAAAACAAGACATACAGCAAAATCTGCTACATGAATCTGGCCTCTGGCTACTGAGGATTAGTGATTGTTGCTGGAACATACTGATATCTTACAGTACATTAAAAGAGCCTATTTCTGCATTTGGTCCTATGGAAGTATGTTTCCTTCTGCTACAGCAGTCCTCAGCTACTGCCCTGACCCTCTGGTAAGGGACATGGCTGAGGTGACTTGCAGCAGGCTGCTGTTGCTAGAGGTCTGGCCAAAGAATTGGTTCTATATGGAGAAGCCTTTGATCAGAGGTGCACAACCTGCTTTTGCGTGTCCTGCCCTCCTTCTTAGCTGCACAACACATGATCTTGCTATAGCTGAAGGTCTGGAATGAATCTAGAAAACAAGGCTTTAGTTTTCAGAAATGCTAGTAATTTGGAGAAGATCAAGTGCTGAATGTCCAGTGTGGTGTGCTTTCAAGGGGACCTATTTTCTAAAGCTAAACCTTAGAGACTTAATGGGTCTATTTTCTAAAGCTAAACCTTGGAGACTTAATGGGTCTTGAAACTCCTGGCTGCTGTGTTTAAAAATTCACTTTAAACAATACTTGGGGGATACAATTAAAAATACAAGTACGTTTTGAAGGGCAGAAATACAGCACTCTATCTTAGTGGGAATGTTACCTGCACATTCTGGGTTGTCTTCATTGAAATTGATTGCAAAATCATGAGAGACCTGCAGATAATGGAAAGAAGAGAAGATGACTGTAGTCAGAAAAATTATTCCAAGAGAACGTGCAGTTAAACACCCCTTACATTCTTTCTGTTTTAAACCTGAGATCTTTAAAGCTTTCAGCCATCAAGTGTGAAATACAGTCCCAGTGGGAGCTCCCTGCAGAAAAAAGTAACAAAACTGGAAGAAAACTCATCAATAATAACAAAGTCAAGAAAAAACAGCACAAAGAGAAAAAAAAAGTACATGAGAAATATATAAATATGGTGTCAGGATTGGGCTATCAATGCCAGCTATAGAAGAGGGAACTATTGCTGAGGAGATGTAAATGCCAGCTCTCCCTAGCTCAGCATCTCAGATTGCAGGACAGAGAAAGCAGGTTTTGATACAGCACTGACAGCACAAGCTCAGCCCCCTTCTGAATCCCATGTTCCCATGGGTGAACAGTTCCTCATTTGTAAGCTATGGGATTACTGGGCAAATCATGTATTTGCTGAAGAGAACGAGAAAGTCACCCAGACTCACTATGAAATAATAAGAAATGTAAGAAGACTAAACTGGTTAAGAAATTAGATTAGGCTGGTGGGAAATTACTAAGAAAAAAACCTGAAGACTCGTTTTTCCTGAAATTTAGTGAATATCCCATTCTCTCTCTCTGTCTCTCTCAAGTTGTAACAAAATACTGCAAAACTATTTTCTAAGACAAATGATGGTAAAACCAAAACATTTGCTGATTTAGACTACAGCACAGCACAGCAAATGGTCTATGGCCCATAGACCAATAGATCAAATAAGTGAATGCAGAGAAGCTTCTGTAAAAGTGAAGTGGTATAAGTCGGCTATTTATTTCCAAAGAGAGCTTCTCACAGAGAAATTAAATTTCCCCATCATATTCTGGCCTTGCTCACCACAGTGATACCTCCCACTACTTATTAAGAGTTGAAACAAAGCAGGACTTCTACCATGGTAGGAAAGGTCTGAAGCAAAACCACACTGAAGAGTCTGCAGCTAGCTTGGCCCAGTCAGGAGTTTGCTATGTCTACACCAAGCACCAATTGCCTCTTTCAAATGGCTTTGCATGGGTCATTTTGGCTACCCTACTCAGCTATGGAAGATAATGCAGAAAGTCACAATGGATGTTCCCCACTGAGCAGGCACAGAAGAGCAGGGTTGTCAGATAAGCTTCAGAGGTGCCCCAAAGCCCTTCTGTCTGGCTGCTCTGTATGTCTCTTGGCACACTTTGCCCAGCTGGTATCTGCCAGTCTCATGACCAGCTGCAGGCCAAGGATAATTGCAGCTGTCAAGAATGGTTATGTGAGTTTTCATTCACTGATTATTTTTTTGCTATTTGGTAGCTTTTCTTCTTACTTTAAGCTTCCTATGTTTTGTACTAACTGCATCTCAGAAGCAAGAGGGATTGCAATGCATGTTAATGTACTGCAGGCTGATTCTGTCAACACTGTGCCTCTCCAGTTAATTTATTTTATAACTACTTTTTTTTTTTCTCCCCAGAGCTATGAATACAGTATTTTAACCTCATACACGAGCATGGGTGGGATGCTTTTGTTGCTATACCTCTTTCAGGATCACACCATACAAACAATTTCTCTGGTGCAGAGCTGTGGCTCCCAGGTTATTATGGAAGAAAAATGTAGACAACAGTTCTGGCCAATAAGAAAGTCCCAAGTCTAGTAAGTGTGCACCATGATCCAAAAACGTATACTGTCTGAGAAATGGCTCCTACTGTCCCAAAACAAGTGGCTCTCATACATTGTCACCCTGGTTCACCAGTAAGAGTGTTAAAATTTATGCTGAAGGCAGGACAGGAAACACACCGGATGCAGACCTACCTGGTTGGTTCCTATGCATTCTGAACAGCCCATCACAATTTAAACAAGATTAAAGTGCAATATGAAGAAGAGAAGTTCTTTGTGCAGCTCAGTGATGGTTCACAAACAGGAAATCATCACCAGAGGCAAGCCAACAGAACACATTTTTTTAAACAGGGTTTCTCCAAATGTTCAGAACTCATTCCCCACTCAAGTGAGTAAAATCAGTTGTGCTTCAACCTGCCCTTGTGCTGTGTTCCCTGAGGTGGCCAGAATTCAAGTGGGTCCAACCCAGCAGAGACTTCAGGCACGTGACATGTGCTGAACACCTCACTGAATTTGGGCTCCTGCCTGATAGGACTCCACATAAAGCCCACCCTTGTTGAAAGGTGGTCTGGATCAAATAGTCAATGCTTTAATTTTCAAAACAGTGCAAAGTAATGACTCTCCCTCCTTTTTATTTTTTTATTTTTTAAAAAATAAACGTGCAAGGGCTTTTGTGACTGAAAGGCAAACCACACTGATGATGGAGGATCAAAAGCTGATATGCTAAATGGCATATTTCTGAAAGTGAATGACACAGCCCTCATGCATTCCCAGAACTGATAAACTAATGGGGAAAAGAAGGCAAAAACATGAATATCTAAGATGGTGAAGACTGGAAATACTCAGGGGAAACAACAAGATGCTTAATTTTTCAGAAGCAAGTTTGTTTATATACAATCTGCTAAGGTCATGTGTATGATGGATCAATCTTACAGTCAGGAAAACAGGGGATATGTCAAGCCACACAAACACAGAATGATTATTTTACAGTGGTACCTGCCTCGCACAGAGAACCTTGCACAGAACTGCAGATCGTTGTCTGTGGTGGAACCAGCATCACCACAAGGAATGTTCTTGCAGAACCCTGATTGTGCCAAAGACCATGAAGTAGGTTTCAAAAATGTGGCTGACCCTCCTGTCTCTTGAGATAGATCCATAAAATCAACCCATAAAGGGAAAGAAAAGATAAATGCTGGAGTGCAAAGGTGATTACATATGAACAGCATCGCATTACTGGGCTTGCTGCACACCACTCAAAGCCTCCAACTAAGAACATTTACTTGCACTTGACTATGTATTAATCTTTTCCCTCTGCAGGACTCCTGATAAATTATTTAGCAGATGTCAGCACTGATGTGGGATTATTCAAACACAGCTGTCCAGGAACTTCCTTCACTAGGAACACATTTATCAGGTAATGTCTTCAAGTTTTTTAAAAAGCAAAATAAGTAGCTTTACCATACATCACCATGGAGATTGCAAGCATTTCTGGGGATACATCAACTAAATAAATAGTCTGTAATATTTTTGCTGATTACAGTAAAATTTTTACCACTGTACCTCCATTGCCCATATATAGACAGTAACAAGTACCTAACTATAGAAAGGCACCCATGAGACTTGCAGGAATGATAACCATACTTTCATATGCTTATAATCAGCTTGGTAGAAAAGCCACCTTAATAGCAGGTAACTTATTTCCCTCATGTTGGGATGTAATGAAATTCATCCTCATAACTGATGAAATGCTTGCTAAATAGATTTCTAACTAAAGCTGAAAGGAAAGGATAATTTCCTAATTCATGAGGATTTTTGAGATTTCATAGTAAAAAATGTCTTCAGGACTTAAACAGAAGCCTCAAAACACAAATGAAAACACTACCCTGGAATCTGACAAATAATAAAATGTCAAAAAATCATAAAGCAAATTGCTGGAAAGCTTTTGCACTACTCAAAGACATTTTGTTTAAGTTGTATTGAAATGTCACTCTATTTTGGCCTTAACATTTTTTAAAATCCCTTTTACTCTAACTGAACTTTCATTTTTTAAATAAAATCTGCTCTGATTCAGAAGCCATGTTTTTAATTAATTTTTCAAATACTGAATATTGATGTGTCTATTCTGAAAATTAGTAATTTTTTTTTTTCTTTTTTTCCCTCCCTCTGGATTGCTGAACTAATTTAAATTAACTTCTGTGCCCTAGTTAGCTCCAGCTTTCCAGAAACCTCTATGGTGATGGTACTGGAACTATTTGACAAACAATCTGACAAACTCAGCCATGGTTAGGAATGCTTTCTTACTAATTTAAATAGAGATTGTCAAAAATCCATGAACAATAATAGAGGCATAAAACCATAAATGCTGAGATGTACAATCTTGAGCACTTATCTGTGAATAAATTGAACACTATTAAGCCACTGCTAGTCTGAAAATTAAATATGGAATACCTGCATATTTTGCAAAAATTTAGGACAATAACAAATTTAAAGAACCATTGCTCAAAAGCTATTATTTTCAGAATGCTCATTAATCAAACAGTTTGGGAGCTGGACAGCTTGTGTCTCTGGCTAAGACCACACTGTAGACATTTCTGCTTGGCAAAGCTTGGCCATTTATTTAACTTAGTACTTGATTTCTGAACATGCTTCCCAGTTTCCATGTCTAAATCCAGGTTGTGTGGATAAGTTGACAAATTCCGTTTTTTCTCTTTTTGTGCTGCACATTCTTGTGCTGGGTCTTTTTTGTCGTTTGCATATTTTTGCTCTCAAGCTCCTCAAAGTGTGGGAATCAGAAAGACAAAAGCACTTTTTTACTCCCTTACCTCTCCAGCAAAACAGACAGTGCAAGTTTGGGTGGTAAAGATGCTGTACTGTTTCTATAATTGCAGTGATGTTCTCTCCAGCAACTCTTCCCAGCACAAGCAGCAAATGAAGCTTTCATTAAAAGTGCAGAAATAACCAAGGACTGTGTTAAAGCAAAGTGCAAGTTGTTTCGTACCTATTTAGGTGTCAGCCTGCAAGTCTCCTTTAGGAAAGAACATTTCATTATTGACAATTCTCCTGTCATGGGGCTGACACAATTCTTAACTTTCTTTTCATTTTAACAGTAAGTTTTGTGGTGCTGTGTGTTTTTTCAGCTCCTTTGAGTTCTGTCTGATAACAAATTAGTGTGTGTGGTTCAGCTTTCTTTCCTCCTCTTCACTGTGCCCTTTGGCATCAGTGTCTGAGTCTGTATTATCTGCCACCTCTTCACTTTACATCAGACTTTTCAGATACTTCTCGTTGCAAAAAAAAGAAGTGATGGATTGGAGACACTGGTGTGGAATAACCAGCATGTTCTGCAAGTTTCATTTGTTAGAAACTCACGTGGGGAATATTGCTCTCATGTTTACTTAGATCAAGGAGTAGGGTGATGTATGTGTCAGGCCGTGGGGAAAAAGATCATATTGCCAAATATTAGATGAAAGATCTCTAGACTGATGAGGAATGTTATATATGGCATGTCTTGCTTCCTTCACTCCCACAGATTCCTTATGTCACTAAAAACCTGATGGTTTTCTGCTAACGGCTGAAGTGTTTCATTTGGAGCTGAAATGAGGGAAAATAAAGTCAGGGTAACAGAGCAGCGTGTTCCCGATATGGAAATTCTGTAGAAAACATATATAAAAATATGTTTTTAAAGGAGTTCACCCTCATGAGATTCATGAAAAGCCTGCAGAGGGGGATACTGACATTGATCTGAAGTGCTGATGTAAAACGTGGGGTGTCTTTTTCCATGGGGAATAATAGCTGGTATAGTGAACATTGGGGTTCCTTTGTAGAATGTAGAAGGATGTGAGGATGCTGGAAATCTCATTGAATGGACAGGTCAACACTGCCCTCCAGCACCCATCCCAGGATACTGGAAGGAGCTCAAGTCAGTACAAAGCCAAGCCATTGGTTTGATATAACATCACAAATGGGTACCTTTCTCCCATGTGATCTAGTGCACCAAGGAAACACTGGAAAAAGATTTAAACCTTATGGTCTGCCTGAAAGAAACAGCTTTCAGCTGGTCTTAAATAGCATTTGATCACTAAATGGGTACTTGTTACCATTGATTCATGCCAAATACTGAGTTACAGGCCTTCTTTTTCTACAGCTTGTGACTGAGCTTGACATGTTTGACTTGAATTCACTTGATCTACTTATTTTACCTACTGTTTTTATCAAGCTGCTTACCTATGGCCTCCCTGCCTGTGTATTGGCAGCCTTTATTGGTCAGCTTTCATTGAGACTTTTAAGGAAGCTATGTTCTTTTAGTTGTGTGGAGGCCCTCATGGTTACTTAGAAACCCTTGGCAGTGGGACTGATTTCTTCCACAGCCATAGGAATTTCTTTTCCACTAGAAGAAACAAAAGAGCAGCTGCTGGGGTACAGAGACCAATGTGCTATAAGCAGGTTAGATCATCTCATTAGGACTGAAGACTTGAAAGCAGGCGCTTTAAATTAAAATGAAAAGCTGGTTTCTCCACATGATGGGGTCAGAAATTAGAACTTTTCATAAAGATTTGAAGATATGAATTCATGCAGTTATGGCACTGCTGACCTTTAACGAAAAAAAACCAACTTTGTATGACTTGCAATACATTTGACTGGAAGCATCAAAAGAACATTTGAATAGCATAAAACCTGCAGTGTTGCTAGGGTGTCTACAGTGTTACCATATTTTTGCAGCAGAAGAGAAGCTAGGCAAGACAAGTTGGGAGCCCTTTTTTCTACAGTCTTTGTTACTTCTAATTATATCAGTTTCTTCACTGTTTCTTATGCATCTTTGCAATATGTTCCACATCAAAAACTGATCACTGTTGGTTTTAAAGTAACTTTATGACACTAATGTAGACTCAATTACTGATAGATTTTCAGGTCAATTGGTCTTGACTTATTAACGCATCATGATGAGGCTGACTCTTCACTCTCTTAGAGGGTACATCTTTCAATGTAGAAGTGCAGCCAAAGCCAAGAAGGGACTTGGAAGTGTTGATACAGTTTATTCTAAGGAGACAGATACCTGTATGGACTGTGTAGAGTATCACAGTGAGGGACAGATGACTGTTAATTCCTAACCCAGTTCAAATTGGATGCGCCCGTGATGGACACCAAGCTAATTATTTTTCCCCATCTGTTACACAGAAGGGCTAGTCCCTCTGCAACATGGCTCTTCTCTTCTTTAAAGTTTTATTACATTGGTAAGCTAATGTCATGTCATTTTGTCATTGCAATTTTCTGTCACAGTTTTCCATAGTGGGGATTAAAGGGGTTGTTCTAGCCCTCACTTGTGTCTCCATTTATTTTGGGACTTGTTTCCTTTACTTGGACATATGTAAGCCACAAGGAAGTAGCCCCATCCTCTTAACTCTACCCTTGTTTTTCCTGAACTTACCAAAATCTGAAGGTCCTGACTAATCAGTTTTCTTGTGTTGAGAGGTTAGTAAGACACAGACTCTTCAAGACAGCTCATGCTATTAGACAAGATTCTTCATCCATGGATGGGTTACTAACTTCAGTGGAAGTTTCTGACTTTCTTGAGAGTAGTTGTCAGGAGATTATCCAAACACCAGTTCTGCCAAAGCAGAAAATCAGTTGGTGTTGGTGATTGTAGGAATATCTCGTTATGAAGTCCCCCCTGAAATAACTTTCTGTCAAGGCACATGTTTTTCAGCCAACACCTGAAACATACTCTGACAATCAGGTGAAGAGGCTGTTGCCTGGGACTAAAAAAATGGGTTTGTTGCCCCTATGCTCATGTGACCTGAGCCATCAATGCTACCAGCTTATTATTCTGGCTAAGAAGCACTCCTGTACTGTTAATTTTACTCTACTGCCATCACCAGGAGACTGGTGGAAAGACTTCAGATGGCGCAGTAACATCTTCCTTCAGGAAATCATTGGATAAATATGGTTCTCTACAGCTGAAAGAATTGCAAGTTTTCCCTCATGCAATGATGGTCACCTTGCAGATACTGGGACAGCCAGCCCCTGGCACACCACGAGGCTGGTACCTCTATCTAGGACAATCACATTGGTACATGGCATTGCCAGTGACGGCCAGTATGGGGCTTGAAAGAGTGATCTGGTTGTGATATATAGATCAATTAATCCACTCAACACAGCTATACAGCCATGGGTAGGGAGGTACATAATCGTGGCAAAGGGATGGACATTTGACAAGTAGCTATTGTGGTTCAATAGTGTGTCTGGTGGTAAAGGCTGTTCAGTATGCTTATTCTGTGTGCATTTACCACATTAAAATATGTATCTAAGTTCTAGAAGCTGTGTCTGATTTTCAAAAGCATTAGCACTGGTGATACTTTCAGGAACAGAGCACTGCAAAATACCTTGTCAGGCACAGTCCACTTTTTTACAAAAGTGTTTTTTAGCTTAGAAGCCAATGGTGCTAAGACATAGGTTGACTTACCTTAGAGATCTGTTTGCAAGCACTTACCAAATTTGCTGTACATTGTTACTGCTACTCTTATGCAGGTAACAAATCTGCAAGCCATGAGGAACACAATAGTATGTTTCTTTTATCTGCTGATCCCTGCTTTATAATGCTGAAGGACACATGATCCCTCTTACCACAGAACTATTCTCACCTGGCCAGGTTCACCTCCCTAGCACAGCCTGATCTGAGAGACACAACTCAGAGGAGGGAACATGGGGATGCTGGATGAAGTCTGCATGATCTGAAGCCCAGTGCTGCTCTTTCTCAGATAGTATCTGAGTTGCAGAATCAGCACCTGGTTTTCAGTTACTTATTTGTGCAGAAATAAGTAGCCCATTGATTACATTAGCTCTGCATATGCAACACAGGATTTGAACTTCTACCTGTTTCTTTTAGGCATTTTTCTGTTGGATGCTCCTTCTTTTACTCCACTGTCTTCACTCCAGCTGTACCAAGCTGCATATTTACACTCACAATTGCACCATCACTGTGGATCACTCTCATTTCGTGTTGTTTAGAAATACTACTTCTCTCTAGCATGGATGCATGGTTTTTTATTTATCTTCCTGGTAATGAAGATGTCCACTGTGGCACAAAAATTTACCACAGAGCAAAACTCTTCTAAGGTCTTAATTTTCAGGAAGAGATTTTCAATCTCTACGTCACAAAACATAGACATATGTGGCTCACTGAACCACATCTTCCAAAAATGGTTTCTGTAAAACCAGGGCTCACAAATTTTCCAAATACGCTTGGCAAACGTTTAAAAATTCAGTTGTCCAGCTAATAGAATGTTCTCTGCTGACTAGACTAGCATCCATTAACAAAGCTTTGCCAATATAATGAAATCTTTTGAGTGAAACACAACTATTTTAAGTCTAACCTTGAGTTCTGGTTTCAGTCAGGTATCATTGGACAAGAAAGCCAGATGAAAGAAAACAAGCAGCAGTAACTGCTCCCCACGACCCTTGCTCTGCACTAAACCATTTCTCCCTTATTTTGTGCCTCATAAACCAAGGAAGCTAAAAAATGTCATTTATGCACCTACTTTGTATTCTGGGGGTATCCTTGCTCCGAATCCAAAAGCTGGGAACATTTTGTCACTGGAAAAGAAGAAAAAAAAAGAAGAGTGCCCACAGAGAAATATATTTTGTTAGAACAAACATTTATTCTTCTGTAAACATGCATTAAAAATGCAAAGCAGTGCAACAGTATAGAAAAGGTGTTTAGGTCAAGACTGTGACATGGCAGACTGGAAGGGTATCAGATTAGATAAGGAGGGGTGTGTGCTGACCAAGTAGAGAGTGATATGGAAGATTTTTCAAATGAACCCCTAGAGGTTTTGGGAAGTCAGAATCTTTTGGAGAATGATCAAGATATCTTGCACTTTTTCCACAAAAGCAGCAACAGGTCTGTATTACCCACTCTTTTGTAGTATCTGTCTTCACCTGAGGATGAGTTGCCTTAACAGCCTGTACCAACATTTATTCCATACGAATACAATGTGCTCCCCTAGGTCCAAAAATGGGTGTAGTGAAAAGATGAATCTATAATTCATAGTGTTTGGAAATTTGGGTTCTTATACCAGTCCAGATTCTAAAGAGACTTCCTAAAGTATCTGAAAAGGTGCAGTTTCACATCCCCAAACCTGGAGGTTCTGTAAAGCTTTCCACCTGCGTCATTAGTAGTCCCACTGAAACATAAGATTACTTTAATTAGCCACAGGTTGACTGATACCTTAACAAATGCTGTGGCATGGTCAATTTGCTTTCAAACACTACAGTGAGGTTGTTCCACCCCAGTTAGATCTTTAGAGAGAAAATTTCCTGATTCAGAGGACCTGGAAACTTTCAAGGGTGTTCATACCCTTTCAGAAACACGCTGATGTCTCACACAGCCCACGTGCTGTCAAGTTGCCTCTTCCCAGATGGCAAAGTGGAAAACAACAAGCTATAAGGAATGTCTCGTCCCTGAGTCAGCACACACTCACTTGAGGTTAACAATTCACCCAAACATATGCTTAACTCCAGACACATCCTGAAGCCCTGCTGAAGTCACTCCAGTGCTCTAATGAATCAAACCTCTCATAGGTTTATCTAATTCTGCTTACAGGGCTTGTTGAGTTTCTACTACCATTATTGGCACTTTCAAAGACTCCCAAGAGAGGCCAACAGCTTCAATTCTCTTTGTGTAGTTCAAGATATTGCCACTCCAAGTATCAAGTGAATAATTCCTTTCCTAGACATACTCAAGGAAGATAATAACACCCATTAAAGTTGCTGTGAAAGGCACCATGATATTTCTGATACAAGCTAAAGAAAAATTGAAGGGTTTAAAAGAAAGCTGAAATAAAGCCTCCCCCACTCCCCTCAAAGTTAAATTTGCCACCATGGGATAGAGGAATAATCATCAAAGCACTGGGAAGCAGTGATGTCTGTCGTCTGATAGCTTAGCTCTCACAATTGTTGTTCTGCTATGAAATTTAGTTGCCACATAAATCTTGGGAGCACATTTCTGTGTACCATATGTTACATCGTGTGACAATGGATCTTGGAAAGGAATACTAACATCATTTGCATGGTAATGAAACATTTTTTTCCAAGAGATGTCAGAAACAAAATAGCTGCTGACATTTGATGCTGACCACCTGCTGATAGCCTTCTCTTTGATTAAACACTGCTGGAAGAGGGGAAGCCCTTATAAATAGATTCAGAGAATGCAAGTACACACTTAGAGGGCAAAAAATAAGAAGCCGCTAGAAAAGGGCAGAAAAAATAATGTTATACATCAGTGATTAAGTATAGTTGGATTAGAAAACCAAACCCTGTGGAGCTGGAAGTTGATTGATTTTGGGCAAGAGCAAACAAAGACTAAAAAAAGAATTTTACTTAGGTAGAACATAAGTGTCTAAGTTCAATAAAACAATCAAAAATGCTGGTGTTGGTAGCAATTACTCAACCTGGGAGATGCCTAAACCCACACAGTGCCTGACTCTGTACTGCAGCATTTCTTGAGCTTCAAGAAGTGTAGGCACTCTAGTATCTGCAGCTCCATCTTCTGCTCTGCAGCAATTCAGAGACAGCACTAAGTGATACCTGCAGCAGCCTGGATTCTCCTTGGGGAGGGACTCCCACATTCCCAGTAACACAGTGGCACAGGCCCCACAGTTTCTTCTGCACTCAGAATACCTTACACCACAGTCAGGACACCTGCCTTTATGTCTGAATCTCTCATTTCTTCTCCTTGAGCTAGTGCCAGTTACTGCTACCATTGCCTTGTGAAAGAGTAAAGCTTGATCACATAATGCTCTCCAGATGGGTTCCATGTGGCTGCATTTTAGAGGGAAGCACATGAACTCTAGAGAGGATGGGTATCCTGGGGTCTACTCCTGTGTGTAGTACCTTCTCCTGCCTCATTCAGAATAGCTCTGCATTCTCCCTAGGAAGCTCCTAATTTTCCAGAATATAGGTACATACCTCTGGTATTCTGATTCAAGCTGCTGGGACAAGGAAGTAACTTGCATATGATCCCAGAGCCTGAACCTTAAGGTAAGAAGGGAACCTTTGATTATCACTCATGACATCCCTTGCATAAAAAGAGATGTTCATGTTATTCCCTGGCCACACCTTGAAATTTGTGGCTGACAGCTTTCAGAATAAAAATAAAATGGTCACTTAAGCAATACTTTTCCTCCTATCACACAAAATAAGGTGTTTAACTACTAGAAAGGTCTCACTCTTTAGTAAGTATGCAGTTAGTGGCTTAGTGTTATTTCACAAAGTAACCCTCTCTAGTCTTCTCATCCACCTCTCACTTTGTCATATGAGAAAAAAACCCAGCAGCTGAGCCTGCTGCCCTCATTCTGCTCATCCTGCAGTACCGAGACACAACAGGGAAAACGTGACCAAGAAGGACATCCAAGGATTGTCTCGCTTGCAGGACAATCCCTTATGGTGTAGAGGCACAACAGAGCTGCTCTGCCAGACCCTGGGCTATCATGGCAGCTTGCAGCAGAAAGAAGAGCAGCTTCCCAGCTTCTGTAAGCTATTTCAAGGGTTAGACCACCCAGGGACTGAAAAGACAGTCAGAAAACAAAAAGGTTTCCTCCTGCCTGAAGGGTGAACTGCATGCATCAGAGACTCCAGCCCTGTTTTCTAATCTGGCATTTCAGTAGGAAAGGGATCTGCTCTATTGATTTTTCTTTTCTTCCTTTGTAATTTAAACTCAATGAAAAGAAGAAAAGTGAGAACCAGTTTTCTTTTCCTTTGTGTTGCTTACTCAGGCATTTGAGCTTCATTTATAAGCCTGGGACCGTGGCTGAAGGACTGGGACATGACTACAGACATAGTCTGTCAGCACCTTCCCTGGCATAGTGCTGCCTCTTGCCAACCAGCAGCCCCCAGAGACATCCCAGGGACAGTCCAAGGGATAGCTGTGCTTGAGACTGTTCCCAAATGGCAGTTTGAGTATCACCAGTTTGTGCTTGGGAGGAAGAAAGCTGAGGTACAAGTACACGGTCAGTGTTATGTCCTTTGGCCTCAGGCCACATCAGGATCTTTGATTTAGTTTGTTTAAACCTCACCAGAAAGTCCTTGGCACACAGAAGAAAACTGCCTGCACAGTCCTGCTGGAGACAGATTGCTAAAGGGATGGGAGAGAAACACAGAACTGGAAAAACAAGAAGGTTCCATAAAATCAGAATTTTACAAAATCAGGATAAAAAGGACAGTTGCTTGGCAGAATCTTTACAAAATTAGTCTGTCATGTCTACTTCACATTTAATATTGTTCTTTGTTTTATATAGGTTCCCTGAAAATGAAAACTTGGCATAATTTTCAAAAAGCTGAAGTGTAAGACTTAAAGATCAAAAAAGTAAAAGCACCAGACTGACTTTTATACCTGCCTGTATAAGGGCAATGAGTAGAAATGCAAGCATAAATGTGTAGGGCTTCTGGCACTTTTTCCAGTCAAGCAGGCATATATTACTGAAAGGTACCAAAGACTGAGCACGGACAGGGTTCAGGTTCAGTGTTCATACTGGTAAATATAAATTAATGCACACAGAAAGGAATTGTCAGGACTCCAAGACTGCAGTCTTCTGAACAGAAATACAACCAGTTAGTCAGAAGTCTCTGAGTAACTTCAACTCAATGTCCAATAATGGACAGGAGAAAATAAATTCTGAAAATATCCCTTATTATCCCTTTGGAACAATGCTTAGTTTTAGTCACCCATCCTTTAAGGTATCCAGTGGAGACAGGGGAAGCTCAATGACAAATCAATACATTAACAGGGGCACAGAGGAGAGAGGTTTCAGTGAGCTGTACTGCACAGACAGGAAAGGAGATGAACAGTGGAAGTAGTAAGGTTTTGTAAATTAGTAAGTGATACAGATAATTATACCTTTTTCTGTTTCACTAGAAATCTTAGTGTTACTGGAAGATAAGAAATATGTTTAAAATAAAAATAAGGAGACAAACTAAAGAAAATTACAAAATCCTTCCTCATTAACCACTGGTGCCCTCTGACATTTTGTATCATAGAAACCTGGAGTTCAGATTTATTCTGAGAAGGATTTGCTATTCCTAGGAGAAGAATTCAGATAAAACTCTTCCACTGGGTGAGATTAATTACTCAGACATTAGAGAATCTTTTGCAACTTCCTCTGAAGCTGCTGGCGTAGAAAATGCTGGAGATAGAGCTAGATGTTCACCAGTGTGGCAACACCTGTATTCAGAAAGGAAAACAAGAGCTGTCAGGTCTATGTTCTCTGAAAATGAGTTCCTTATTAAAAGCTATATTTGGAACCTAAGTTCTTAATTGTATGGAGTAAATGTAGGGCGGGGGGGAAAGGGCCTAAGTAATTCTAGATGCCATTTATCCATTCTGGAAAGATTAACTTCTAGCTAGCCACTTACATGGGTTGTCTGGGACTCATTTTACTGGTGGTCATGAAAGCCCTTTGGTAGGTAGCAACAGATGTGCTTACCTGTAAGCTCCTGAACTCAGTGCAGCAATTTGTGTGGATGTTACTAAACTGACCTTGCAGAGCCCTAGCTTGAAAACCTGCTCACTTTATGTTGGAGCAACACAGTAGCAGGAG